TCAAATTCTCTTTGCTAAAAAAGCAATAAAATTATAGCATTTGCATAATATTCTCAATGGAGGTTGAATCAGTCTTAAGAGAATTGCTAGTACATGATGTCATGATATACAGAAGACATGCAAACAGCATGAGAGAGTAACATAGACATGATAGATTTGTATGGATCATTGTATACCGGATAGACGAAACAGGTGCTGTAAAAATTATACATTCCTGTGGTCTCATTCTAAGGACAACACAGACAGGGCTTCTGTATCAGTCAGCAATCCCGTTCTCTTTGCGAGGTAATGGATCAAAACAATCAGGAGGAGCAGCAGCAGCAGGTTAGCGTACCATTGGTCTGTAATAATAAATACTTAACTGTATGGGCATTGTTTTGACCACCTTGGTTAGAAATATGTAAACCAAACGGTTTATTAATTATTGTTTTATGAGATTGTAGCAATGCCTATACATCAATGTCCTTGTGGTGTTATTATTTAAAATTGTATGCTATGTAGGATGAAGTTGTTACTATTCCTGAATCACCACATGAGAAGACTCCTTTCTCAGATTCAGAGCCAAGACAGTTATCTCCTGCTCCTCTACCCCCACTCCGGCCTCCCCCACAGCAACGACCTCAATCAACATTTGAAGCTGGTAGTTCTGCAACATTACCTGCCCGACCTTTATCAGCTAGCGTTGACTACTCTACTGGAGATTTAATTTACGATAAATTACCAGAGACTCTCCCAAGACCTCCGAAATCTACTCCGGCTCCTTCCATGAAACCAGTAGTAAGACTTGTGCACTGACTGTATTGAATTTGCATACAGTAATATTATTGCAAGAGCTTGTACATAGGAAGCCTATCTTTGAAATTCCTTGAATTAGACATTCATTCCAATAGCTTGAGCTTATTAGCGAGTAATTCAATATCATTGTTAAGTTTGACAACATGCTCTTTAAAGCTGCATATATTGTGCATCAATATAGTCATTATTATAGTCTTTGTGCTGCCTATTAACACAACAGGATAATCTTATAAATGTACTGGAGCAAATGCTGAGATAGTATATCTATGAATAATGTTATATATCTATGAATAATGTTAAAAGGAGGATGTTATTACTAGTACTCCACCCTTTTAGATTGAAGAAAAGAATATGGCAGAGGTGAAACAAGAGGAGCCCGTTGAAGAAGTAGAGAAGAAACCACCACCAGCAGAAGAAGGGGAGGATGATTACCCCAGGGACTACAAGACGTGCACAATTATTACCATGATACTCTGTAGCCTCATACTAAACGTCTTCTCCTTTGCCTGTCTCGTCCCTGCCTATTATTATTCTTCTCAAGTAAGTTTTTGTCTAAGAGACTAGTTTTTATCCAATAGACACGAGGTCACACGTGTGATTTGCCTTTTTCGTTTAGTTTGGCACCATTTTCTTGTAAATTGTGTAACATTTTGTCGATATGTAAAGAATTTCGTTATTTTTTCATTATATGTATATACATGAGCAATAACATGTGTACAGCAATGCCACATACAAGTACACAACATTGGAAAAGAATGCATGGTACAGTACGATTAATTTTATTTATTTGTAAAACCGTTAGATCTCTATTGCAATGATATGAAATAGTAAAATTATAGTGCCACTATACCAAGAATGTATACTACTAGTAACCAATCATAACATTCTATGAAATACTATGGGAAGAATTTCATTGTACTGAATATTTCATTGTACTAAATATTGATTTAAATTTGAAGTTTAGAATATTTTGTTTATTCATGCGTGTAATTGAAAGCACTGTAGTTTGTGTAGTCATATTGAGTAAAAACAGTGTATTAAGGAACAAGGATAGGAACTGATAAATGAGAAGTGTATAATGTTTATAATAAGTTATGAATGAAACTCTTTTGTAGTATTACATGTTAGATTGTATTTAAATTCTCAATAGTCTCAATGGAATTCTATAGCTCATAGCTGTATAGCTACCTGGTTACTTATTATTTCTTTGATAGGCTAAATTGAAGTATAAAGATGGAGAATTTGATGACGGGGTTAAATTGGCTAAGAGGTCCTTGGTACTTAACCTCATCACAGTGATATGCACGTTTCTAGCCGTCTTGCTTATTTTTATCATAGTTATGGTAGCATTTGGTGCTGCAGGATTATTCTGAGCTATAAAATGAATTATCAGTGATTATTATTATTATTGATTATTGTCGCTCTCTTTTTATTAATTAACTAACATTGCATTTTCCGATCTTCAGTTTTTATCTTCTTTCCTTATCAGTTTGTGGTTACAATGGTTATTACAATAAAACAGTTTAATTAATTAATTTATATTGTGCCACGCCTCCCTAATTAATTAAATTGTTATTGAGTCGAGTATAATTTAATACGCACACTCCCACTTCGTTTCTTCTTGAATGGCTCGCGCTCCTCCAAACAGAGGATCATATATTCCTCTTTCCACTGCAAATCCAGAGCCACCACCTGCTTACACTCCTGTAGATGCTTCCAGTAATTTTAATTCAGGGACCAACCCAAATCCTACGGCCCAACAGCAACAGCAATCATCAGTAAGTGCCCGCTGTCATGGTGAATATTGACAGCATTCTCAATCTGTTTCCTTGTAGAACGTAGTTGTTGTAAGCCAGCCAGGTGCTCAACGGATCCAACAGATTCAACATATCGCTCGTCCTAACGATTATCTTATACTAACGACGCTCCTATGTCTCTGCTGTCTGTTTCTTGGAAATTTTATAACTCTGGTCTGTCTATTCCCTGCTTTCATTCTAAGCCTAATTGTAAGTGTTGTACTTTTGACAGTTGTGTGAAATTTATGTATTAATTATTTTCTGCTGACCAAGTGAAAGTATAAAATTATGTTATGTATACTATTTGTGGGTGCATGTGTGGCCAACTCCATTAATAATAGTTATAAATAAAATGATTTTTAGTTATTGTTGTTCCCACTGTGTATTTGTACAGGCTAGCAACTATAATGACCTCGGAGAGTATCGCTTTGCAAGAAAGTTTGGCTCGTCAGCTTGCACCTGTAACATAATTGCAGTGCTATTCACTGCAGTGGTGGTGCTCTTGGCAGCTGTTATAATTATTGTCATGATGTTTGTTTTGGGTCTTATATCAGTTTAATGTGAATTGTAACTAATGGAATCAACATTAATGGTTACCACTGTCAATAATAGTGTTATACATGGTTATTCTTGACATTTATTAATTTGGAATCATTTCTGACACACACATACATATACTAACACTACACAACGTTATGATTAAAATCTGTTCAGTTTATAATAATTTGATATTAAAATGACTGAGTGAATTGATTGATTATTTTTTTGAGGAGTTAATTGGTATTGGTTGCCACGACTACCACAACTGGAATAACAATAGAGATAATTCCAATTCCGGTTACAATTGAACTGATATTTAAGATGAAGGCACACCTACTGTAGCTGTTTGCCAAATTATATCGACCTTGTTTGTTGTAATGCTTTGACTACAAAAAGAAAGAATAGTCAGTATATAAAGTATTAAGTATTGTACATAATAATTGCTTACAAGACAAGACGATAACAAAGCAGCAATACCACAAATCACTCCAAAAGGATTGACAAAAAGACATAAAAACATCACAATCACTGATATATGGAGATAACTAGATATGGCTGCTTCCTCTTCTATACTAACCGGCTTATCAGATGCGGAAGAACACTCCTTACCGTGACTGCTAACCTGAATGTGTAGAAAATACTAAAAATTAATATATTGCATTATTAGTATTTAGTAATAGTGTTAAAATTATGTAAAAAGATCTAGCCTTCATTAATGCATTAGTAGTAGCAATGTTAACATTTTTTATTTATTTATTTATTTCAGAAATTTACAGTACACATTAATAGAGAGAAGCAGAGATTAGAAAAGAGAGTAAATAGCAGTACTGAGGGTAAAATTTTAAAACAAAAATAATGTAAACTAGCCTTTTCATCTTCAGGAGCTGGTGTCACGATTATAGGTGGTGGCTTCATTACATGAGGACACAACAACAACTGAGAGTGGAGAGGAGGCTGAGACTGCTGTTGATGTAATTGGCTTGGATCCAATGGGAGTTCACTTGTTTCCAAATAGTCTCCAGGGGATGGTGGGGGAGCAGTTGGTAGCAGGAATGATGATACAGGAGTGTTGCGATCCAGTGGTAACTGCACTTTGCTGCTGTCCTGTGAGCCAGTGCTGATATTAGAGCTACCTCCAGAGTGGATCTTATTAGGTGTGCTTAATAGCTGAGTAGACAATGGAGTATTGTGTTCACCCCCATTATCAGTGGGGGAGGAGAAGGTTCCTGTACACTTTGCTTCTTTCTTGTAATAACTCAGTTTAGCGCTCAGTTCTTTGTGAAGAGCAACAACATCTGATACTTTTGGGGACAGAGAAGATCCACGGGTATAAATGGTAGAATTCTTTCCAGCCACTACACGACAGCTCTCAGGCGAAAGCATCTCTCAGATTACCAGCCAAAACATGTGACCCGAGCAATTTGATTGGTCTATTATTAGATTAGGCATAAGGCCACACCCACCAATAGCGCGAAGGATAAAAATGGCATCAATCCCACCAGTGAGAGGCCCTAGTATAGGAATGAGTGGCAAAGACTTTAGTGATAGAGGGAACAGTGCAGCTGGAGGAATGCTACCTTCTAACAGTAACATATACTGTTGGCCCTATTGAGTTATTATTGTATCACTATTGTAGGAGGAGGGGGAGGAGGAGGTATGGTGACTAATAATACATATCTCGTTACTAATAATGCACAAGTACTCACTCCGTCATCAATAAACAATCAGCAAGTAAGCAAAAACGAATATTTGTGGTGACAGCAATTGGTGGGATGTGAAATTAGCTTTTTACATCTGAGATTTTGTAGTGACATAATCATTAAAACAAAATGGCAGGTCTGATATATTCTCATAGAATCGCCAATTCTTAATCACTGCCAGTCACTAATGTTAATTCCTTGCTAATAATCATTTCCTACTTTGATGTTATATTATTTGTATGTAGTCATTGTCAATACCAGTATCATCCAGTAACTCTCTTCGTAAAGTACTAGTGAAGCCTATTGCTCCTAAGCAAGGTCTTCCAATGGGTATGGTCCCAGGATTAGTGGCCACGCCCAATAACACAGGTTGGTATACTATTTTTGTATATTTTTAGTAATTTTATTCAAAAAAGGTCCAAATTTATTGACGTCTAGTGATCAAGGAGGTGGAGCTTATACTCATAATTACTTACAAGTAATTAATTATTGGTATATACCACCCACCTGTTTAATTAATTTATAGTTACAGACACTTACCCAAAATGCTGCCCCTCCATTGTCTGCTGGTGTTACCGTGACAACAGAACAAGGAAAGACTGCTACCATTCCTCCACCTTCTCATCAACAATCTAAACCAAAAAGGTAAACATTAATTATTATATTTATTTATTTGTTTGTATTGAAATAATAATGATAGGAGAACATCGTCACAGAGTTCAGGGAGGTGTGTTGTTGTTTATTGTTGTTGTTGTTATTATTATTATTATTATTATTATTGTTACAGTGGCGCTAACCTAGCATCAAATAAACCAAGAAAACCTTGTAATTGTAAAAACTCACAATGTCTGAAACTGTAAGAACCATGTTATTATTATTGTTATTATTATTATTATTATCATATAATCTTCTTTTATTCAGTTATTGTGATTGCTTTGCCAATGGTGAGTTTTGTCGGGATTCTTGTAACTGTCAGAATTGTAAGAATAGTTTCCAACACGAAGGAGACAGATCAAGAGCAGTAAAGGTAGCGTGTGAAAACATGATTACATGATACATGTACATGAACATTTTCATTTGAAGGCATGTCTCGAGAGAAATCCAAATGCTTTTAAACCTAAAGTTGGTCACGGAAGAGTTGTAAGTTACTCCCCATATGTACCATTAGTCCATTATACTGGTGGCCATTGCCTTTTATTGTTAGGGAGATGAAAGGAGACACATTAAAGGCAAACATGTTCAATCATCACTTACCTTATGTACATGTACTCTTACTTTTTGTTTAGGCTGTAACTGTAAAAAATCAAGTTGTCTCAAGAATTATTGTGAATGCTACGAAGTTAGTTTGAACATAATTTATTAGCAAGTAGTCTTTACCCTTCCTCTCTCTCTCTCTCTCTCTAGGCTAAGATACCCTGTTCTCATTTATGTCGATGTGTTGGTTGTCAGAATCTTGCTGATAGACCAGAGGGTAAAGGACTAATGCAGTTAGCTAATGCAGCAGGTAAGAACGTGCATTGAGAATAGAAACAAATGCTTGCATGAGTCAAAGTGTCAGTTTGAAGCTTACACACTTTCTACCATAGGGCGCCTTTTTTGAGGGCTGTAAATTTTACAAATTTGCCTTTGCAGAATTAATTTTCACAAATTTATGCCGTCTGCCATCTTTTACCATAATAATTTTGATTTTCACAGAAATAATTTTTGTGAATCTTTAAAAAGTTGCAAAATCCGCAAAATTTACAGCCCTTGAAAAAAAAGGCACCCTGCGGTATCATTTTGTTTCTATAGCACTTTGAGTTGCGACACAAGTGCACAAAAAGTAATGTGTCATATTGAGAGCCTGCCTTAACGAGTACTGATTGACTATTCATGATCTCTCTTGATAGATCTACGTACCCAGCAACAGAAGGCAGCATCAAACCATTTCCTAGACCAGCTGGAATTCTTTACTCCTCACTATTCACAAAGGCTGCAAGAAGAGAAACAACGGTAAAAATTATTACTTGTTATTGTAAATTTGATGCTACTTAATCATTTTGTTAGCTTGCCATATTCATTTGTCAATAAAGATGTCACTAAGGCAACAACTTTATGTTTGTTGGAAGAGGCCAGTCATTGTGCATCTGTAAGTTCCATTCTATTATTATTATTATTATTATTATTGTAGAGTGGTAAATCACCTGTTGATATTGAGAGGGCTGTACTCATTGAATTTGGCCGTTGTTTAGAACAAATCATTAACTCTTCAGAGACAGGTAAATGTCATTAAAATCATTAATTATTATCATTATAAATTATCATTAATAGCAAATCAAGTGCATAGAGAGGGTGTGTCTGGAATGGTATAAACACATTATAAATGAACTAAAAACTAACAAACAAACACTCACATTAATATTAATGATGTTAATTTTATTTATCAATAATGCCTTATTAGTCTTCACTTGATGATGATGATGATGAAGATTCTGAGACTACAGGAGCTGCTGCTGGTCTTTTTCTCTTCCCTCCTCTTCCTCTCTTACTAACTGACACTACTTCATCATCTATCTAATAATTAATAAAATTAAAATTAATTATAAAAAACTAATTCAAATCTAGTAAGTACCTCCTCAATATCAAGTTTCGATATCTTTCTTTTTCTTGATTGCCCTCTCCCTCTCTTTCCTCTCCCCCTCCCTGTCTCTTTGCTTGTACTTTCTTCTTCGTTGCTGGTCAAACGAGTTATGGCAGCTCTTAATCTCTTGCTCTTGTGTCCCCTTCCACTAAAAGGAGGCAAAGGAAGGGGAGGGGCAGTGGGCGGGGTCTCTTTTGATTTGACAGCTCTTCTAAGTACAGGCAGTAATAATTTGTCAGTGTGTGATATGCTCCATCCAAACTTATCTAAAGTAAAACTAAAAGAAAGATATAAAATGACAAATATGCAGAAAATTTGCCTTTATACAACAGACACATTGCATGCAGAATAATATAGATAAACAGCATGATGCTTCATTAGCTGACAAGCACTATAATAATACATTGCTTTTTGAGTAAGTTTTAAAATTCAAAAAAATACAACTTTGATCAGAACCAGCTCAAAGTTGATATTCACAGTAAAGATATATTAGAAAAATTATAAAAATAGAGATTTCCCTCATTTTCATTTTTGACAAAATTTGGCGAAAGAGTACAGGGTGTTTGGCTTAATTTTTAGCAACTTCAAAAAATCGAATTTGATCAAAAGTTGATACACACTATAAGGACATGTATATGTATCAAAAAATTTAAAAATGGAGAATTCTTTTATTCATTTTTCGCAAAACTTGGCCAAAGATCAAAGGCTATAGCCTTCAGTCATAAATTCATATAAGTTGAAATTTGATCGAAATCAACTCAAAGTCAATACACAACATAAGGACATGTATATGTATCAGAAAAATGTCAAAATTTCTAGTAGCCATTTTTGACAAATATTTGGCTCACAACAACCACAGCCTTTAGTCAGTGGCCAAATTTTTGAGCAGCTTTAAAAATTATAAAAATCCAATATTGATTGGAATTAGCTTGAAGTTGATACACACCATACGAACATGTATATGTATCAGAAAAATTATAAAAATGTAGAGTTCTCTCATTTGTTGAAATACCCTGTATTATATATAGTACAGTGTCTCTTTGACCCAATTTTTGAGCAACTTGACGATCCATGGACAAGAAGTTGCATGTGGAGGATTCTGAATTGTACATCTATAATAAGAATTATTATTATTACTCTCTGATGAGATCTAAATCAGCAGTTCCCCATTCAAATGTTTCCTTAGAATCATCAACAGCTGGTCTCATGTACTGATCCCTTATCAATACATTAGGGAAATCATCAGGGAAGGACAGCCCCCTCTAAAACAAACAAAAATACTATCATAATAAATAATGATAGTTTTTACTATTTTCTTTTGTAGAGGTGATTCTTTCAAGTTGTTGACTGTATTACAGTCAATGTTACACTGTCTGTGTGAAATAAAATTTGCAACTTAATTTTTTGACCACACCTACTTCAGTTTTATTAACGGCTCCAATCCTTCACCTTTGAAGAACTGAACTAGCTCTAAAGCATTGACCACACCCACACCTAATTAAGAAAATAATTAACAATGCACCTCCCCCTCTCTTAATTACCTTCTATTCCATCAGTATAATCGCATCCTAATAAATATGCCAATATAATTAAGTTATTTCTATCTAATCCGAGAAGTGTTTCAATGTCAGCATTCCGGTAATATTCGACATCGTGAGACCCAGTGAACATGTGCCTGTATACATTCATGCCACCAAAGAGAAAGACGTCATTATCATCAGTGATGGTTCCTTGTGTCAGAGACAGTGACTCAAGAGTAGAGCACTGGGCTTCAGCTTCTGAGGGACTTTCCAAATAAGGTAAACCAAATAATCGTAACAATTCCTGATAAAATTTATAAAATACATTCCACCACACTACATGTATTATTAATTATACCTTTGCCTCTTCGATAATGCTGGTAGTAAGGCCAGCAGTTCTTCTTTCTTGCTTATTTGTTTCTTTATTAATACTTTCCAGTTCTTCTGTTATTCTCACCTCCATCTCTTTAGTTGGTAACTCCATTAGCTCTTTGGCATCTTCCACAGCAGCCACCATCTCTTCTTCATTAATGGCTGATCCCTCCTTCCCTCTCTCCTCTTCCTCTCTCTTTTCCTCTTCCTTCTCTTCTATTCTTTCGTCATAATTCGTTCTTTTTTCTTCTGTTGTTTCTTTATTAATAGTCAATGGTTCATCAATTTTTACCTCTTCAAATTCAATTTCTGATTCAGAAGATGATTCGTTGATGAGGATTGTCTGATTGTTAGCTAATTTCTCAACTGGTAAATGCTGCAGAACATTAGAATCACTGATATCAGTCTGAGAAGCATCACGAGACAAGTGAACAGTATCATCTTCTTTGGCATCATAATGTTCAGGTGGATCAGCCTCAGTAACAGGAGGAGTAGCTACTATAGGAGAGCCCACTTTACCAGCTGTAGGACTATTCCTCACGTCATCAGTTGTAGGAGAGTCCATTTTACCAGCTGTAGGACTAACAACATTCTTGACAACATTACTAGCAGTAGGAGCGTTCATTTCATCAGCAGCTACAGGAGAATGAAAGCCCATTTCACTAGCAGCTACAAGAGTATCAAGTGGGCTAGCATTGCCTGTAGTGAAATCATCAGATCTCTCTTGTATATCAGGTGTATCCGTAATATGCTGACTATCAGTGGCTTCCTCCATTGTACTACTACTAATGAAAGAGTCTGTGCCCTGTATTAATATGTATCTTCTTTCTTCAGTTGATAAAATACGATTAGCTTCAACTTGTACGTTTGTTCCCTGAGGTATTCCCAGTGAATTTGATTGGCTACGATTCAGAGTCTTCCTAACGTCACCTAATTTACGTGAGAGTTGACTCCGTCTCATCACACGTGACAACTGATAATTAGAAAAATCATTAGCATCCTAAAATAAATAAATATTTATATAGCAATTATTATTATTATTAATACTGTACTTTGGGTAAGGCCATTGGATCACATCTTGCTGTTCTTTCTTTCTCTTTCTTCTCCAGTAAGAGGTCATGCTGTATCTCGGGCGGTAGGCAAGAAAATGATTCAGAATTGACATCAATGTTATCATCATCTCTGTAAGACTAATAAAGAAAAATAACAACAACAACAACAGCAATTACTTACGTGATCATCAAAATAATTTGTATCTTCGTGCTCACTGATTTCTTCAATTGACTGATTAACTAAAGCACTAATAACATAATAATAATAAGTAATATTATTATTATTACAATAATACCTGTCCTTTTCAGGTAGATAAAACATGTCCTCTTCAATATTTGTTTTTTTAATATAGCTGGGTATATCTCTAATTAAAGAGCACTCGTCTAATACTATTACTAATAACATTAATTTTGTCTTACAGTTCTTTTCCAGTTATTGTTTTAATAGCCTGAGCCTCCAACAGTTTCCTTGATCTTTTATCCATTAGTTCCCCGGCAGCCTTACCTGCTTCTTTCCGCTTCCTTCTTCTTAACTCCTACATACACATATCAATGATACATACTGTCCAAATACTGTATAGTGCAAAATTTTCATGGGCTATAAATTCTATGAATTTGCCCAAAAACCTAAATTGTGGATTTGTCACAAAATTTTTGTCCAGGGCAAAAAATTGTTCTAGCTCCATACTCCACGTGTATTATAGATATAAACACTAAACCCTAACCTTAACTGTGTAGAGTTGCCCGGACAAATTATACCGTAGGTTGGGATATATTTACGGCTGCAATTATTCGCGGTCATAAAAAAATTTCAATTAAAAACCATGGAAACCGAGGTGTTATTTTAATTGAAAAAGGCGCGATAGTGAAGAAAAGCACCGTGCTGCAGTGTTCTTGAGCTGTTCTTCTTGTGTCACTAAGCCTTGGGCTCTTTGGAGCTGCTTTACCGGTTCTTTTCAGAACTAGTGCCTTGCCGTATTTTGGGACTCTCCACCCATTCTAGTTAGTGTTTATTGACTTGGGCGTGGTTTATTATCACCAGCACGCGGACCAGCAAAAATTTGCAGCAAAGATGTTGAAAGAGCTCTGAGGTAGTGGTCCATACAAGAAGTTAACAGATAGAGAAGGACTCGCTATTGGTGAATGGCTCCACTATAGCTGCTAAAGAACAGATGAATAGCTGAACACTAAACACGTGGTCTTAATTGTCATAGCAATGCTCTAACAGTTTCGATGGTTTTTAATTGAATTTTTTTATGACCGCGAATAATTGCAGCCGCGAATATATCCCGACCTATGGTATTATCTAACTCTAATAACACTGTCTTAAACCATAATAAATTAATTTTACAGTTTTAACTCTTAAAAATCACATAATTTAATCCCTCAATAATTTGTCTGTACAGTATAATAGTAGCACAACGTACCAGTGTTTTAGTCTTTAAAGGTGGCGGGGGGCCATCGAACACAAAGACTGGTCGTATTTGGTAAAACAACAACTTGCATATCCTGTTGAACAGTACTAGTAGGTGTGGTTTGGGTATCTCATTCCCGTGATGGTCCCTGGCACCTTTGATAGCTTGATTCAGCCATATACTCACATCTGTTCAAAAATAAAAGAGAGAAAAAGAGGGAGGCATCCCTTACCTACTGCTAATATTTGTCCTTTTAAAGTCTCCGGGTTTATGGCTCTCCCTGATGGCTCCAATATTTTCCAAAGATCCTTGACCCCCATTGTGACATCACGTGTTAGACCATGCCCACTAGTTATAAAACTTCAGTAATGTTAATTTTTATTGTTTTTAATAATTTGCAACATTTCTAGCACAGAAACAATCTTTTCTCTTGGTTTTCCTACCAATTCTCCTCTCCTCTTCTCTTCTTCATCAATCTTTAGCCAGTCCTCAAAAAGAACCGGCTCAAATCCTACTCAACAACAATGCTAGGAATAGCAATAACAACAACTGAGTACCTTTTATATCATTCAATATGTCCCTAGCTGTATTAGAAGAAGGAAGCATCCCTATTAAGATTACAATATATATAATACAATATTAGAGGGATATAGCTGTTACCATTCTTATTATCTTCTATAATACTACCAGCAGTTTCAAATGCATCATTCATGGTAGTCAATATCACACCAGTTGGGCCTCTCTTTACCCAACCACTGCAATATAATCCTAAAATCTTGTAATGAACAATTTAAATAAATAAAATGACATACCGTTGATAGTAGTTCCATTATTGACTACTCTTCCTTTACTGTTATTAATAATACCCAGTTTCTCATCAAAAGGTATTTCTGGGTCTATGTTTCTACTCTTGTATCCAATGCTTCGAAGAACCATGGAACAATCAATAGTTTCATACTCTCCACTACCAACAGCTGTTGTATTCCCACCATTAGCATCTTCCTACAATAATGATAAACAATAATAATAATAATAATAATAATAATAATAATAATAATAATAATAATAATAATCTCTCTTTTTTTACAATTAGTTCATTTATTTCAAGTTTGATTCCTTTCGTTATTTCATTTCTTGCTATTATTTCCATTGGACTTCGGCAGAACAATAGCTCCAATACATTATCATCATTACTAATATCTCTACCATCACTAATAAATTAATATTTTAATAATAAATAAATAAAATAGTATCACTCTTTTATGATCACCTTGATGTCTTCAACATTAATTCAGTCAATCTTTTACGGGGTCTAGGCAGTTCTACAAAATATGGTTGTCATATAAATAGAACTGATACTAATATAGCGCCATATATTCTAAAAATAGTGACAAAATTACCTGAAATTATATCCTTATATGGCAGCATATCCTTGTGCTTTATCATGGTCTTGCATTGTGGTAGTTTTGTCATTTCTCTCAATTCTTTTATTGTGAAGGCAACTTGTAGAGGACCTCTTCTTCCAACCATTATCACTTTCTTTATTTTACTGAAGGACAATGCGTCAACTGCATGTGAACATATATCTGTCTCCTAATGGAGAGAAAAGAATTAAATTTGCTAAGATTATAATACACATGTATAATAACTTTTAAAGTATCTAGTGGTGTCAGTAGTATTCTAGCGATATCCAAAGCAACATTTCCTTGACCAATGATTACAGCTGTATCTCCAGATGAGAGATTAAGATTTAACTAAAATATGTACACATTTAAAATAAATAAAAACAAATATATTTAAATTATTATTTACATTTTCATAACCAGGAAGGCCGTTGTACCAGCTGACAAATGATCTTGCAGAAAATACTCCATAAGAATCCTATATTAATATTAATAATAAATAAATAAATAAATTCATATAAAATACTTCTCCTTTGATTCCCATTGTTTTGTCTTCTTCTGCTCCGTATGCCTACAAAAAGCCACACCCATTAATAAAATTAAGCCAAACCCATCTAATTACTTACCAGTACTACTCCATTGTAATATGATCTCAGTTGGTTTATATTAATATCAGTGCCAATATTAATGTTACCAATAAATCTGCAACGATCAGTTAAAGCTAACGTTGTGAACTGATTAATAACATTCTATAGCAATTTTTAAAATGAAGAATTCCCTCTGAATCATTCTTAATTTGGCTAAAAACCCATTAGTCAGATTTTTTGCAACTTAAAAAATTTATTAAAAATCCAATTTTGGTTGGAATCAGCTCAAAATTTCTACACAACATAAAACATGTATATGCATTTGAAAAAACTGATTTTTTTTACTTTTAAAAATAGTCTGTGCTGTAGAACAAACGGGTATTTGGCCAAATTATCGAGCAACTTTAAAATTTCATAATGCATGCACATACTTTAACTTCAGGGTGATCTGGAGCTACACCAAACCTAATTAAGCCGAAAGGAACAGGAAGAGCCTCAAATATATCTACACGAACATCATCACATTGCTGAGCTTAATCATAATAAAAATAAAATAAAAAATTCCACATTTACTACTTTTATTAAATGGTGAGCAGTATAAAATCCAGCTGGACCACTACCTACAATAGCTATTCTTGTTAGCCCTCTTCTTCCTCCACTCAAAGCGGCATTATTACTTTTAAAAGACCTAGAGAGACACTTGACTGCAGAAATGTACCAAGACATCAGAGTAGGCGTGGTAAGTAGGCGTGGCACGTCTGTACTTAATTAATCATTACGTCATAATTAGCTGGAAAAAATAATGGGGTTAACAGTATTAGAAACAGCAAAAGGATTTTTTTTAAAAGCAACTGTCAGCAAGTTCCAATTGACTGTCTAGCGTATGCATTTTACAGGCTTGCGGTAACCACAGTCAGTGAATGCAGATGGTGGAATGAGCTGACCAGGGCTAAAACAACAACAAAATAACAATAATTAATAATCCTGTATAGCAACTTACTTGGAAGCATCAAGTTCATAATAGCAACATCCAAGTATGCTTGTGATATCTTTAGTAGCCTACAGACAACTGTATTAATCATTATTACATCATTCTTCTACTTACTGTTTTGCAAGCAGATGAACATTGACCTTGATGATAGGCACTAATACAAGTCTATATTACAATAAACATAATAAATGAATAAATAAAAATGTTAGCTTACATCAAAATCAGCAGTATCATCCTCAGGAATGAGACTATCAAGTTCATTCCAATCATTAATGCAATACCTTCCTCGAGGATCGTGATAGCAAGATTGATTGAGATAATCCAGTGCAGTCTGATTGACCTAATAATGATAATAACAAGAACAACAATATAATAACAAGAACAACAATATAATAACAATTCATTGTTGTATTTAACAATTACTTACTGGTCCAACAAAGTTAGATCCACAGTCAACAGTCAGTTTATGAAATAATGTCAGGATAACATGTGGACAATGGTTTCGGCAGAATCCTGCGACATCACTGCTTGTAACATTTGGATATGCCTCAAAGGTAGCCTGTAATGGAAACAAAAAGAACAGAATGCAGCATAAAAGCGCTTTAATATCCGAGAAAAGTTATTCCAGTTTTACTGACCAAGCAAGATTTGAAAGGATCAACAGTGGTTTGTTGAGCATCAATGAAGCAATTGGCGCTCTGCCTCTTTTCCCTCTTACTTTGGTGAGTGGCAAGTTCTACTTTGAACTTGCGTATGGCCCTAAATAACAATCAACTAAATATCTAATCACAATTTACAAACTCTGAGATAGTCCTAGCAGCAATATGCTGGCTTTTCTGAAAAGTGGGCCGGCGCAACACACGGGCATCAGAGAGTGCCACAAATCCAACGACAAGGAGAGCAAGGAACAAGAAGCGGGACATCTTTACTTTACTCGTAGAATGGTATTTATGATCACACACAAGACGGTCACACACAACAAGATTAGCAAAATACTAAGGGTGGAGCTGGAGTGGAGAAATGAAAATTAATTCGTGGGTGGAGCTCGAATTTTCATTTACTCTAATATCTATGCTCTAATAATCTGTTTTCAATTACTTTAAAAACACTAAAAAGCAGCAATGTTTTATTAGCAGTTTTAATTAGATCCTTCATTTCCTTGCAGCCTTCATTTCCTTGCAGACTAAATTAAAAAAGTGGAAAATAACAATGACAATAATAATTTAGTGACATACACAATAAGTTGGTGGAGTATAACCACAAGTAGTAAAGAGATCATCAGAAGCTCTAAAAAATAAACATTATAATTATAATTATCATCATCATTATTATTGCTATTACAAATCAGCAGGCCCAGGGCTAAAGAATCCAGCCATTGCCTTGTAGCAGCAACCAAGAGTACCAGTGATGTAGGTCAACACATCAGAGCACTCAGTTGGGCAAGTACTGGTATCACTTTGATACAAACTAGTACAAGTCTACAAGCATTAAAAGAGATAAGATATTAACAGTGCATTTATCTTACTTACTAAATATTCACTTCCTTTGTCGGATGAATTATCGATGAATATAGTTGTTGTTAGTTGATCCTCCTTCAGACAATAGTCACCATTAGCATTAGTATAGCATGTCTCATCCATTGCCTTTATTATATTTGCTGGAAGCTAAAATAATAATTAAAAAAAATAAAAGCTACAAATTACGATGATCTCACTCCAGGGTCTTGGCAGCAAGCTGTGACCTGATCAAACACATCCTTCACGTCGTTGCCGCAGTGATCCTGGACGCAATAAGTATTGACCTCACTATCACTCACTCCAGTACCATCAAATAAGTGATTAAATATCGTCACGCAATTCACAATCGTGTTATTATCGCTCAACTGGTTAGTAGCATCATCACAACTGCTGTACCTACAGCTAGAGCTAGCAGCAAAAGTCTCCTGGAGGCCATCAGACACAGAGCCTCCTCTTCTAACAGCTGGTTTATTCAAAATATTGAGGACAGTCTCACGCAGTAGCTTAGCTTTATCAACAGCAGCACTCTCAACTAACAAAGAAGTAGCAAGGAAGAAAGCAGCAACAAGGAGAACCTTCATCATTACCCCTCTATACAATAACAAAATAAAAATATCAAAAATATCATACACTTACTTTTCTTTACTGTTATATTTTAGGTGGAGCTACTTGAAATGCATAACTATATTTACAAGCTGAGGTTGAGTTCAGTGCATGTGTGGTATCATCTCATGTTTCTCATGTGATTATCAATAAATAAGTTCACTTCTTAATGAATATAATTAACAGCAAATATTATGTCATTTTACTAGTTTATTGTTTATTTCTTTTTCTTATTAGTACCCTATACAAAGGAAATAAAACATCTCCCAGTACATACAAAGTTACTTACACAAGTTGGTATAGTAGCAGAGCAAGCACGGACCATGTCTGATCCAATGAATCTATCGATAAATAAAAATCATGAAATATTACAGTCTATCTTTAACTTACGGGAAACCAATCTTCTCTATAGCATCATAGCAGCAACCAAGGTCACTCACAATGTTTGACAGTGTCTGTATAAACAGAATGAGGGGAGGATTAACTATGACATATGCACTTACTGTTTTGCAGTTGTCTGTACAGTTAGTCCTTGATAGAGCATAATCTTGAACACAGAGCTAAGCAAATATAGAGAAAAGAATATGCTAAAAGTTTAATACATGTACAGTACATATACATGAAGGTGCACAAGTACATACAGTACATTATGGATGTACACAAAAATCATTAGCACTACACAGTGTACATACAAACTGATACAGTACATTATAATGCACATAAAGTCACTAGGAGTACATGTACACATACATTATAGTTTATAGTGAAGGTGTTGTTGACTCCAGTTTGAAGTGGATATATGTATATCTTCCATAACGTCAAACAATCAGTTCTGTTGTACTGCCAACAAGACTCCTGCAATAAATTATAGAATGGATCATCAGGGCCAGAGGGAGCCTACAAAAATACAATACTTCATATATTTATATAATATCATTACTACTTACTCCACCTCCACAAGCTTTTGTGATAGAGCCATATATTGTGGTAAGTATCATGGGACAGTCATTCTTCTCACAGAAGGTATTTATTGTATCGTTGTCAAGGTTATATATAGTTCCAGATGTCAGTATCTCATTGCAAATCCCCCCAGCACCTTCAGATAACTGGCTCTGTGCCTCAATACACGACTCACCAACAGAAGGTGATATAATGTGTATCAGTAATAAAAGGCAAGTTGATTTTAGAAGAAACAAAGACATCATTGCTCTGCTCTGCTGCTATTTCAAACAAGGCGTGGCACAATAAATAATATATTAATTATCGATATTCATTATGAATCATAAAGAAGTTGCTCAAATTATGTCATTACTCATTACTTTTAAAAAGTTGTAGATATTGTTCCTCATGCAGTGAAAAGATAAAATGCAACAAAAACCATAAACAATTGAATTAATAATAGCAATAAAATAACAAGGGGATTACTGATGATGACAAACTTGACTAGCGTCAAAGCATCTTTTAATTTTTGATTTCCTTCAGCAAAAAGGACGGCAGTGTTAGGCTTAGAGGCGTGACGACGATCTTTAGCAATGTGTGGTTTGATAACAAGCTCATCAACTGGGACACCCTCCAGTTTAATAAAGGAATCCAAAGCTATAAAAACAACAAATATTAGTATTATTTACTCATCTTCCTCCTGGCCAAACCTTCTTTTTCCTTGAGAGGCAGTCCATCTGGTGCTTCAATGAACAAATAAGCTCTCCCTTTGTGATTGAGATAAGCAACAAAAGTAATCTTGCTAGTTCTATCCAGTATCTAAACACACATTATAGAATACATAAGATCAATAGAGCTATCATTATTACCTTTTGTTCCACAATTGCTGACCAGTATGTCTTCCCATTCTTGGTGTCTACTACTCTCCATTTTGCTCTTCCCACCAGCCAAATGTAACCATCTTTATCAACATAGCCAGCATCTTCAATCCTTAGCCACACCCTACCATTAATATCTGTAATGAGACGCTTAGCCTCAACCTATTAAAATTAAAATTAATTAAATTATTAATCAATTAATCAAGTACTTATAATTACCTCATTAGTATTGACGTGCCATCCTGATATTAATAGCTCTCCTATTTCACCACAATCAGAGCGTAATGAGTCAATATCAACAGGATCACTGAATACTTTTGAATCTAAGATCAATATTGCATAACACAGTGTAATGCAAATCCCAAAATAACCTACCATCTTGTACAGGAATGACTCTGACACTGTCCTCAACAAATGGTTTACCAACACACAGTGCATCTGGTCCATCTGCCTCCAGTAGCTGCTTCTCTTTGACAGATATTACACTAATCGGCTCGGCCTCTGTACTGCCATAGGCTATCAGTACATTACTGTCTTTAATGACACTTGAAATAGTACGCAGTGGACCACTATAATAAAAATAGTAAAATAATTTAAAAATTAAAAATAGTCTTAGTATATACCGATATATAGTCGATCCTCCTACTAATGCTAATTGAACTGGTAAGTGACTGATGCCATTCTCTGATGCATATTTAGCCACACGGTGCAAAAAGTGTAACGATCCTCCCAAAAAATTCATCTTGTATTTCGTTAGAGTTTGAATGACGTCAGCTGGATCGCATGTGGTAAAACGAGAGAACAAACCACCAGTACCACCCACCTGCAATAATGAATGAAAAGGCAGATCATGCATTTTGTATTAGAGAGCAGCTACACCTGCAGATAAGACCCCTATTGACATGCTGCACACACTACACAGTCAAACCAGTCTACTCTATTCCAGACACAATAAAACCATCCCTGACTCCCTGATAATATAGAAGTGTCCTTATTTCAGAGGTTCATTTAATATTGTATTGGGCTACAACAGGATTTCCCACAAAGCACGTTAAGTGAGCTAAAAGCATGCTTCATGAGCTAACAAGCACTACAATAGTGGCCATGCAGACTATACAATAGTACATGTACAAGGCTTTGGGGCATTTCAAATTTTGTAAAAATCCAATTTTTATTGGAATCAGCTTAAACTTTCTACACAACATAAGAACATGTACATGTAGATGTATCAGAAAAAAATGATAAACATGAAGATTTTTCTCCTAGCCATTTTTGGTAAAATTTGGTCAAAGTCCTTGTACAGGGACATTGGCCTGATTTTTGAGTAACTTTAAAAAATTTGTAAAAAATCAAATTTTAGTCAAAATTAGCTCAAAATTTCTACGCATCATTAGAACATGCATGTGCATCAGAAAAAAATATAAAAATGGGGAATTCTCTCATAGTCATTTTTGATGAAATTTGACCAAAGACCCTGTACTATAGTATTGGAACTTTTGGCTGATTTTTGAACAACTTTAAAATTTTATAAAAAACAATTTTGATCAGAACCAGCTCAAACATTCTACACAACATATGTACATGCATATGTATTAAAAACAAAAGAATTCTCTACTTTCAATTTTGGCGAAACTTGGTCAAAGTCCCGGTACTATGATACAGACACTTTTGCCATTTTTAAAAATTAAATCTTAAAAATTGTAAAAATCCAATTATTGCTCAGAGTTAACTCAAACATGCTACACAACATAAGAACATGTATATGTATCAGAAAAAATATAAAAAAGGACAACTTTCTTCTTGTCATTTTTGGTGAAATTTGGCTACAAGTCCTAGTACTAGTACAGGGACTTTGGCCCAAGTAACTTAAAAAATTTGTAAGTATTATTGAGATCAGCTCAAAAATACAGCACAAGAACATGTGTATGCACTAGAAAAAATTATAAGAATAAAAAATTGAGCAACTTTAAAATCTCTGCATGAGCACTATGGCAAAATCCTGTGGGTAACCCTATTTCTATATAGAGGTGTCCTTACTTTAGAGTGCCCACAATAGCAGGTTTGACTGTATAAAACATGCATGTAAAAGGCAAGACAAGTAAAATATAAATCAAGCTTGCTTGTGGATAGTTTTACAAATAAATTCACCAGGAATGTTCCTGGAGGTTTCTAAATAATTTGAAGCGTGATTTAGAAATCTTCAATAAAGCAATTTCATTGGTCAACTCAAACAGTGCATAGTAGAATAATACTAAAAAATGACAATGGTAGTCCACCACTTACTTTTAAAAAGTGAAGAGGGAAGACAGCAAGGTTAGTAAGACCGCCGCATTCTTCTTCATCAAGTTTTATGATTTCTTTCATATACTTGTCATACATTTTTGATATACACTTTGACTGGAAGAGCAGAAACTCATGTTTACGGAGCAATAGCTTAGGCATACCTAGTGGAAATAAATAATAAATAAAGTAAATAATAAGTAAAATGCACATAATCTTTACCAGTGCTCCCAGTGGTAAAGGTTATCAGGGCGTGTTCAGTATTGATGACATTCTCCGGCATAATTAAATCATTGTAATTAGTTAACAAAGATGATGAATAATCAATCTCAAGCAGTTTAGGTATTGCTTTAATTGATGGAAATATGTACTGGGAAAAACATAATTATAAAGTAATTGCTTTTATAAAATTATATTACCTTCAGCCACTTCATTTTTGTACCTTTCATCCATACACACATAACAGGATTTGCTTTACCAACACAATAATTGAACCTCTCTAGTCCCATTGTTGGATCAATCAGTATAATAGTACCACCTAATAAAACAGGGTTGGAATCAGCTACATAGTATAAAGACATCAATATGCATTAAAATGTGATAAAATTAGGGGTGAAAATAGGTAGCTTAATTTTGTATTTTCTTAAAACTTTACATGTGGTTTCGGAGCCAGTTTTTGGAAGAAACATGAGCTAGAATTATTTTTCCAAAAATTTGCTAGAATGAGTTCAAACTTCATGCATATATCAGTAAAAAAATCAGTAAGAAAATTCAAGGTAATTTCAGGTCTCAGGAGCCAATTATTTTTGGAAAAAAACATGGCTACTTGTATTTACACTTTTGAAAACAACAGGTTGGTCCTTTTCTATCTTTACCTAGTGCAAATATTGCTACAATGACAGTAAACATGTCCAATGACGGAGACACTGCTAGTAACACTCTATCCCCTGGCCTTAGGCCTGCCTCTCTCAATAAATGAGCTACTTGAGACACACGAGAATGAAAAGCACCACGAGTAATGGCATCATTATCAACAATCTAAAATTTAATAACATCAAATAAAAGGATAGTATTTATTCATCTCACCATCAAGGTCCTGTCTTGATCTTTCTGTAATGTTTGCAAGACGTGATATGAATAATTCTCCATTTTTCACACTTTTCACTTAATGATCAGTTGGCTAATTAATTAAGGCTGGGCTAGCCTAGCCCTAGACTAAAATCTGACCAATGAAATGCTAAAGCTCACATGAGCTTTATAATTCAACTGTATCATTGATAGTTCAAGACATAAGTTTAAATTTAGTAGCAATGCAATGTTTTAGATTATCATCTAAAGTTTCTTGTTTCCACGCCACTGAGCTATTGGGTTGTTGATTGGCCAACGAATAAATTCAGGAGAGTCCATATAACTCTTTATAGCAGGAAGAACCTAGGCATTGAAACAAATATCATAATATTCTTTTATTACTTGTAATGTGTACCTCAAAGCGATCCATATAAGCCTATTGTGATTTAAGGAAATTATAAACCGAAAATTACATGCTTAGCTACCTTAAGATTGTCAAGACCATCAAATAACTGAGGATGGAACTCCCTGTGTTGGTCAAACATTTCATAAAAGTGAAAGTCAGGAAAAGTGATCTATATTGTTTTCATTTATACATGTTATTACTTATTAGTATTAATAATATTCTACCTCATTTCCAGCAAACCAAGGTTTATCTCCCAAGTACTTGGACATTTCCTCAAGCTTAGCCCGAACAGTTTTTAAATATTCTTCTTTCATCGATTCCTAAAAATATTAATGAGTTCATGACCTTGACATGATTATATGCCATTCAATAGAGAACAAAATTAGCTAATATAGCTACATGCACTCTTGATATATTACAGCATAAGACATTTTAGGAAAAAATTACCATTTGTGAACTATAGCAAAGTCTAACAAATCCATTTCGGAAGTCCATAGCCTATTTTAGCATTATTAAATTAATTGACACAGAATTACAAAATATTGCATTACCACATTGAGAAGCATGTCAACTGTAGCCATATCAGCTTCTGTTTTACCATCTGTTCAAATATTACAGTCAAACAAATCCAATATTATAAACTCACAGAGATTAGCCTTGCGTCCAAGATAGGTTAAGATCTATGAGATTAAAAATTAATTGATAGACCATGCACATAGCGAGCTTTAATTACATAATACCATAATTATTGTAGTACAAAATTTTTATTTTAGACACATATTTCATTATTTATTATATCTACAAATAAACAACTTTAAAATATACCTATTATTATCAGAATGTATGACATAGAAAATAAAAAATTACATGCACCAGTAAAAAATTTTATTAACATTTTACAATATTTTGCCTATGCAATTAAAGTGTCTCATACACATACCAGAAGGTACCATGTAAGTGTTTCTTGAGGAAATAATATTTTATGAAATTTGTTCAAAACTTTATTTGCAAATTCATAAAAAATAAGAGCACATATGGTACTCTTTAAGGATGAGGCCAGGGTTCCCCACAAAGCATGCTAAGTGAGCTAAACAGCATGCTTCATGAGCTGACAAGCACAGTGAAATGGGCAATTCTAAAAATAATTTATAAAAATTTTGGATCTGCATACACAGCATATAGACATGTATACATATCAAAAAATTGAAAATTTTCTCCAAGCTGTTTTGACAAAATTTGGCTGAAGACCAGCTATCCTTTTGGTGTTGACAGCAACTTTAGAATTTCCAAATTTGATTGGAATCAGCTCAAAGTTGATAAACAGCATAAGGGCATATATATGCAATTGTGTATTGAAAATTGAGAAATTTCTAGCTCTTTGTGTTTTATGTCAAAATACTATAGCATAGGTCTTTGACATAAACATGTGCCTTGTCAATAATTTCTTTTTGTGGATTTATTTTGAAAATCTGCAACCCTATTACTTTTGGAAAAGTAATTTTTGTCTTTGTTATGTTACAATTAAAAGCAACAAACAGAATTATAATTTTTAAAACACTTTTTCAGAAGAATTGATGGAATTATCCTACCATCATTTTACTGCCAGAAATTCCCAACCCTGGTTAATGTTTCAGTTCTTAACTTGCACCATTAGAAAAACCACGCTATAGTATTTAAAATCATAGTCCTCATCTTTACACTTAAACATAAAAATGAAAGGGGTTAACCAAAAAACTAACAGAGATTCCTGCAGTACTTAAATGCATGTGGGTACGCACATATACTGCATTGGTCTGTATAATCTTCACATCACCATCAAATAGATATGGTAACTATAACATATATAATTATGACTCGTATATTTATCAGGATGTACATTGGGAAAAGGTAGCTTTACTGAATGCAATCCTTCTTTGGAAAAACTAGGAGCTAAGAGATTTGACAGATTTGTGAAATAGATTTGACACTCAGTGACAAGACCATGTGCATCATGCATGATAAAATGGAGAGTTGGGAAATGTATATTAATTAAAATTTTGATATGTGTTAGTAATAATAATATTCTATCTCACTGTCTACTTTGACATTTTCCCAACCAGTTGTTCATTGATTCTTTAAAATAGGATAATGAATGACCTTGAGAATAAGGAAAAATACAATGTGGCTACTATTTTAAAAACTAATGTTGGAATAAGGGCTGTACACTGAACTATCTACTTAACATTATTTTATAAAATTATAGAAAAGTCCAACAAATTCATTTCATTACTGACACAATGCAATACAATTTTGTTTGGTAAACTGAAATTAAATTGACAATATTGATGCTTGTTGACAAATTAATATAACTGCAAATGAAACATTGTAGTGCCACCAATCTAGTTTAGGTTGATTTACTAGCACATTATGCTAGTTTTTAGATTTTAGTCAGTAAAACTGATAGTCCACAGGTGTGACAAATGTATATAGTATCTAGATTATTTATAGACTAAAAGGGTTCAACTGATACATGTATCATTTGTGCTTTGTTTGGAAAGGCATCACAGAACTCTTTTCGCCTAGTATATGCATTTGGTATATACCTTTGTGTGATATAATTGTTTAATTATAAACTGCTAAGTTTAAGCAAAAATAAATGAATTTATAGCTATATTTATTGTGATTATATATACACTTGAAAACATTATAATTTAGACAGCAGTTTCATAGCCTTGAAAATTCATTGATTTTTCTAACATTTCATTTACATTTTTTAGTGTAGCTAAAACTTTTGGCTTTGGTTCTTTTAAAATTATCATTTTCATTGCTGACATAGCTTCAATCCTGTCATGGTCTGCTGATGAAGTACATAAATTAGTAACTATAATAAAATTGTGGTGATAAAGTATATGATATAAACTATATTTAGCTTACTGGCTGTAGCAACATCAATCAGCATAGTTCGTATCTTTTTTTCCTTAAAATTCTGCTTTGTCCCTCTTCTTTTCTTACTTCTTTTTTGTTTTTTTGTAATACTTTGATGAGATTTTTGTTGATCATCTCCTCCTTTATTGTACTTTTCTACTATAGGATTCTCTTCTTTTAAAAGCTGCTTACTACTACTAACAGCCTTTATACCTGATATAATTATAAGAAACAGATTAGTTATGAAAAATTTTAATTTCCTTTTGAACTTTCTATACTATTGACAACTATTTTGAGAGCATAAATTCAATGATTGGTTAATGTTAATTCATGCAGTAGATCTAATTATGAAATTTGCCAAAATTAATTTTGGGAATTTTGTGCAAGCAACTAGATTTAAAAATAATTAGCAATTTTAATATTAGTAATTTAAATTGCTATAATCCAATCACCAAATTTATAAAAGCTATATAGAATGCTCAAATTTTTGTTTTAAAATTTGTGCGTTGCTGCTTTTAATATTACTGTATATAGACTACTGGATCTCCCTTTGAAAATATTATACATAACCCATACCTCTTCTTTTTCCTACTAATCCTTTGCAAGCCACTTGTCCTCCAGCACTATTTATCAGTACTGGTCTGTAATAGACAAGTTCATAATTAGGTTCACCATCAGAATTATCATAATAAATCTCATGCCAATTCTCATTAAACACTTCTGGTTGGCAAATGAAGAAAGGCTCGTCTAACAATTGCATCTTCCAACAAATCTTAATAGCTTCCATGGCTTCATCATGTGGTAGCAAAATTCCACCAGGAATAGATCTTATTACCTAGTGTAATGTAGATTAGATTTAACTAGAATAAAAACCTACTTGATCAATAGCGTATTGATCAATGCTTCTTAGTTTATCTTGTGAGTGTTTTAATAGGAAATGGTATGCTTTAAAAACATCTGAAAGGTCTTTACATTGGCCATCTAAACTCTCTTTTTGCAAAGGTAATTGAGTTAGTTCATAAAAACTCTCCTTAAGTGTGGCATTTAAAGTACTACGGCAGCATCGAAATGATTCCTTTTAATGAGTAAATATAAATTTGTTTACTTTTAAATTACCTGGAAAAGTTCTTTAACAACAATCAAAGTTTTTACTTTATTCATCTGTAGCTTTTTTGGAAGCTCAATCTCAGCATTTTCAAAATAATTTAAAAATTGCTGTCGAATATCATCTGGATCTATCATTGTAATATCATCAATTGTCACATCAGAGTCCAACTTCTTTACCATTTTATTTGACCTATAAAAGGTGATTTAAGAAAACTTCATGGGTTCAATATAACTTCTTTACTTGTATACTACTTCGGGCTCTTTTGTGATTGCATATTCTTCTTTTTCTTCGAGACTATGATAGGTAAAAATAATATTTTAGTGTTTAAGAGTCTGCTTAAATTAATAATAATTACAACAAGCCATAAAACAGTGATAAATCTAGTTGATACAGGGTTACTTTAATACTTACATCTGCATTTGATCCTGAGTGTTGGAATGATCACCTAATATTGTATCTCGCTTGAATAATCCACAAAAAATAGATGACTGAGCCATTTTTAGTAGTTACCCTGCCAAATGTGTAGGGGAATAAAAAAGCAGATCATGCAGGATGAAATTTGCAGTGGGAATGAAATTTGCAGTGGGGGAAGGGGGCAATGCAAGAAATTTAATGCATGTATACATTAACGTCATTCTATGGGAGGAAGGTATGGCCCCCTGATTCCTATTCCTATGCCATTGATAACTATGCTCATTCAGCAAGTGACTTTTTGGTCTATGATCAGCATGTGAATACTAACAGCAACAGTTTACAAATATATTGTGCCATTATGATAACACTGCACTCCTACTTTGTATTAGATCAACTGAACATATTTTCACCATAGTAGCTATTGGATTTACTAGAACCTAGCTTATGAAAATATTTTTTACTAAGCTACATGAATAAAAATAATAATAATCTAAAAGAAGCATAATAGTCATTAATTAAATTAATCACACAAATACATCATGTACATTTGCACACAAAATTGGTCTATATTTTTTATAGTTTATCATTATTACAGCAAGAAGTTTATTGATGCTTTAACTTCTTCGCCAGTTGGATCATATACTCCTTTCACATTTAATTCAGTTCCACCAATTTTCAAAAACAAAGAAATAGTACGATCCTTGAGTGGAATTTGAGAATGGGGTATTTTTAGTTTGATACACCCAATCATGCTCACACCTGGGTTAGGATTGCGTTTCACATCTTTTGTGTAAACCACATCATCTCTATAAGTCTTATATATGTCTACTAAAATAATATCTTTTGTTGTATCAAATGGAGTAGCGAATGATTGTAACTCCATCACCTCATTACAGAGAACAATTTGATTCCTTTTTATTAATGTGTAAAATACGTTTGGGGTAATTGTAGTGTCACGGGATAAGTCATAGATCTTCCGAGACTTGTCATGCTGTTTGGGGTCATACTTTACTATAGCTTCTACCCCATAACTGGCAGAGCTAATTCGGCTTTTGATGATGTTGAGACTTAAACTTTTTCGGAAAAGAATTGCTCCTTTGACTACTGCTAGTGTGAATTCTTTTGGTACAATTATGGGAATTCCAACTTTCTCTTTAATTTTTTGGAAGATGTATGAAGTTCCCCCATAACCACCAACAAGATAAATTTTGTCAACTGTTTCTTGACTATCTTTTAATGCTGATGTTATGCAATCAGAAATTCCATCTACTGATGGTGCAAACAGCTCTTCTGTTATTGGATGCTTTATAACAAGAACATTACCATCTAAATGTATTTTATCATTATATTGAACTTTAAGTTGTTTTTTAATGCTGTCAGCACCATAAAAATCTATCATTTCGTTAGGTAATCTTATATTAATTTTTTTTTCAGACAAACTGCTATTATGAAATTTACAAAAACTCTTTTTCTTTTCTTCAAAGGTAAGGCTGATGTGCATATTAGCTAGTACTTTGTGACTTGTTTCATGATGCGAAACAGTGGTGCAAAATCTTTGAAATTGAGGATCACATACAATACTTTGCAACATTCTGGAGTATTCATGATTGACTTTCATTCCTCCCCAAACATTACCTGTTGGTGGCAAAATAGAATCAACTTTATTAGAATGAAGAGTATGAATAGCTACATCAACAGTACCACCACCAATATCAACTACCATATAGCTGAAGGATGTAACATCTCCTGTGGGTTTGCAATAACTTGCCACATCACTACTCTTCAACTGTTGACAGCAAAGAGCAGCACATTCTGGTTCCAGGGCAAGCATAAGTTTGTGTGCACAGTCAGACATTTCAACTTCTTTTAGGTCACATGTTATTGGAGTAAAAGTATCAATTGGAGGTACTTCTGAACTTAATAAACCAGCCTGTGTATATGAAAAATTGGATTCAAGATACATGCACTATACTTTAGCTTGCATTAATTTTGCAGCATGCACTTACCCTATAAGCAGATTCCCTCATTATTTGCTTTCCATTTTCATGCCATATTGCTGGAACAGTGATCACCCATGAGAAATCTGTGGCTTTCAATGGTCTAGTTTCTGCTCCTTCTTTTATAGTGCAATCAGAGACCTCCAACTCATCGTCAAACTTTAACTTTAACTTTGCCAGCACAAATGCTATGACTTCGATAAGGTAAAAATTTGCCCCATCAATGGATGATACCTTCATTTGTTTGGAAATTTCCTAAAAATTATTATCAAAGTTCACTGCATGAGGTGAATTAGCTGTGATGCTAACTTTGTTTTGTGGCCTTAGTTCCATTTTGAAACATTCAAAGTACACATATGAACGATATTCATCATTAGTGAGGTCTTTATATATATCCTGAGCTGCTGATCCAATATCCACGACTTCATATTTTGGAAACTCAGGGCTTCCTTTATTTTCCAGAAGCAATGCTGTTGGCGAACGCTTTTCATTTTCACTTATAGATAGTAAAGTGCAATCCGGGCCTTCTTCCTCGATATAGTAAGCTAAAGAAACGTTAGATGTTCCGAAGTCAATTGCTGCAATATATTTAGCATTCACGAAGGCCATTATTGGTAACACAAAGACGGAGCACAAAGATGACGATTATTGAACTGCTGTATGTATTATCATAGATTCTATGGTAGCTATTATGTATCGATGGTATTAAATGCAATCATTATTATCACAAGCCTCATTTCCTAATCACGTGACCCCTAATTATACGGTTTAGAGTTTACGTCATAGTAATTGCATCACGTGATAGTGACAAGGGCTCATATTATAGGGCTGCACAGTTATGTCTTTATCTATGTAAGTCAGTGATGATGATAAAAAGAGACTATGATGCATTATGATCTTATTATTGTAGTTTTATTGTTAGATTTATGTTTTAATTTATAGATTGCCTCATCATGTGCAAGAAATTCAAGAAGAAAACAAGTTTCTCAAAAAGTATGCATAAACGGTAGAGTAGACGTTATGTAGTGTGACAAAAGATGCAACGGACCTCCTATAGGTACTAAGATTTTCAACAATGAGATCAGATCTCCATGACAAATAACTTTTTGTATATTGTATTTGGCATGCATGCACCCAGACTAGCTGCAATAATCTTGCATCAAAACACAAGATTAGAGAAAAGTCTAATTTTACATTTTTATGCACATTACATCATGTACCATTTGTTTATACATTACTTTTGGTCAGAGGAAGGAATAAAATGTCACCTGCATATCACAAAATAGCACATAACACAGGTGTTATTATTACACATTCGTGTTATTTTAGTTCATTTTTTTGTGTGCAGTGCTTGAAAACAAGCCTAGCGGCAAATTTTGTACACAAAAGTTTTGTTATGTATAAATTCTAAATGTGTACAGGATATAATGAATAATAATCCCTCTCTAGTTTATTGAAGAGGAAAAAATTTGAATATGAAGGGAAAGTATTTGTGCAAATTCCAGAATTAGAACCAAAGTACACTTACTACTTTATGCATTAACACCAATTTGTGCAAATTACAACAGATCAGATACTGGAGATAGTGGACTTTGTATAACAATGGATGATGAAGGTGACATTAGCATTAAAGAGCAATTCATGGAGTACTTTGATAATATTGAAGTAGAGCTGCCAGAAAAGCTAGAAATGGATAAAATGAATGTTATGTCAGTTGGCTGTGACTTATTTGAGGTACCCTATAACATGCTATACAAACTTTTAACTATATGAATGTATAGACTTCTTTTAAATGCTGTCGCAGTGCGTTTATTGAAAAACTCAAAGACAGTCTTCTTGAATTGACTCAGTTAAATGAGTATGAAAATGCTAATACTCGAATAGATGCAAGAAGGCAGCGGAATCTTTGTGATGTCTTCAGAGCATACAAGCTCCTTTTAAAATACTCAACAGCAAAGTTAAAATGTATTGATCAATCTATTATTGATCAGGTATATTATCATTATGAATACATGCTGTTGAATACTTGTCATTAGGTGAAAGCATCCATTTCTGATGATGCTCTAGCTTTTCAACTATCTGATCAAATTGTAGAGGCAATTAAGATTTGTTGGAAAATGCAGTTGTTAGATAATCCAATGTTTATATGTCAGCCTAAAGTATTTAATGAGAATTGGCATGAAGTTTATTATAATATTTTGTGCGATGAAGCTAATTATGAACTTGTCTATTACAGACCAGTACTAATGAATAGTGCTGGAGGATCACGTGCTTGCAGAGGATTAATAGAAAAAAGAAAAAGTAAGTTAGTTTTTAATAGATTTAGTTGGCTATACCATTGTTTTAGAGGGCCAAGTCTCTGAGATTAAAGAGCCAAGATACAAAATTCTTACAGCTAGTGAATCAGGTACATAGTGGGAAATTTTGGAGGGAGTTAAATTTGGCGAATTGCTAAATTTTGGTGATTGGCAAATTTTAATTTGGCAAATTTGTGGCCACATACCATTGAGCATGGGTATAATTGTTCAAAATGGCTGTTTTTATTTTGGTGAATGGCTATCAAAACGCCAAATTACCAAATTTAATTCCTTCCAAAATTTCCCACTCTATGGTACCAGAGTCTTTCATGTGGATTATTGACCGATTTTGATGCAAAGCAAAATGATTATCTTTAATTTTCTCCACTATAGACCTAAAGCTGTCCTACCACTGCATGCAGTCTAGCAATAAGTATCACAAACAAGTTGCCATGTTATGAGATATTGGATAGATATAGGCAAAATGCAATATTTCTATAAAAGAATGTGCAAGCTGAGATCAAAATAATAATTATAGATCTAATATAATAAATAGAATTATGCAACAAGTGTGCAGTCAGCATTCCTGAATCAGAACTTGCTTTTTGTGGAATAACTTTAAAAATTGCTTCTGGTCCATTCAGCTCTGCACATTCATTGATGAGCCATCATGTTGTAATAAACTACTTTGATTTTAGCTGCATTAATAAATCAAGAAACTATATTTATTTTTAGGCTTAAAGCCAAATTGTGTAGGAGTCATGTTAGAGAATTCAAAAAAATTAGGAAATAAAGTATGAATCAAATTACAATGCATGAAATGATATATTATCATAGGGATTAAAGCATAGTCTTCGAACTAAACTCATTTCTAAAGTGATCTGTTCTATCTGCGACAAACCTACCGAATTATGTTATATGGGACAATTAAATTTTTCATTTTTGCATTATGAGTGCTTTCTCAAGTCCAGATAGACTATATAATATTGAATAAATTATGTGTGGGTTGTCTATAGTTTTGTTTTGTATAATTACTATGTAAAGAGAATTTTGTAGCTTACATAACAGTAACAGAGATCATGTGCTTTACTGTCATGTGAAGTAATTTTGTGTAGTAGACTTGTAGTCTATCTGCTGCTAGTCTTCCTTGTTGACAATGAATGCAGAGATAATGAGTGCTACTTCCTTAGTTTTGTCAATAATTTATAGAGTGGCAGACTACTTTTCCCCTGACTTAGAAATAGAAGAAAGAAGGCAAGTGTACAGGTAGATCTGTGTTAAATAATTTTAAGTAACCACTATGGCAAAGTAGTAAATTTGTATTTTTACAGCACACAAGATCATCAAGATCATGACATCAGCAAGACAGAAATTAGATCTACAGGGGAAATGCATGATGTCTCACAGATCAAGTAATACTTAACAATACAAGTCATAAAGTTTTACTTATCATCATTGACATTGTCAAAAACAAAGTACAATAAAATTAGAGGCAAAAACCATTATTATGTCCCATCAGGAGCCCTTTTATAAGCTCCTGGTATAAAGCAAATATTAGTAGATAATGTACATTAATTATATTAAATTATTTACTTGTAGAAAAAAGCCATATACTGCTATTTGTGTTATTGATGGTGCTATTATGTCAGATGACATTCAAAAACAGTTTATAGAGTATTTTGAAAAAATTAATCTTCAACAAAAGAAAATTGATTGTCTACCTCAAAAATTCTTCGAAGTAATTTTTTTATTTTCAATACTAAAATAAAAAATATTTTCAATTAAGGAATTTTTTCAATGCTGTCGCAGTGAGTTTACTGACAAACTCAAAGAGAGTCTTCTTGAATTGACTCAGTTAAATGAGTATGAAAATGCTAGTAGTCGAATAGATCCAAGAAGGCATCGGAATCTTTCTGAGGTCTTCAAAGCATACAAGCTCCTTTTAAAATACTCAACAACAAAGTTAAGAACCATTGATCAATCTATTATTGATCAGGTATGATGATTTATGAATACAGTTAATTAGATCTTTTCGTCATTTAGGTGAAAACATCAATTTCTGATGATGTTTTAGCTTTTCAGCTATCTGATCAAATTGTACAAGCAGTTACAATTTGTTGGAAAATGCAGTTGTTATGTAATCCAATGTTTATATGTCAACCTAAAGTATTTAATGAGAATT